CCAATCAGGCTTTAGTGAGCAGCTGAATGCAGTGGCACTTTTCTGCCACTGATTCAATGATGCAATCCTGGCAGAACCGTTCAGACATACTTTGTGACATCCCAGGACAAACTGTTAGCAGGAAGTTGGGATGGGTCTTAAGAATAACTTGTGAAGATGGAAAACTGTAGGGGGGGCCCTGCCATCAGGGCCTGCATTTCCTCAGCCCTTCTCACTAAAATGACAAATACAGCACAGAATATAACGCCATTGGCTCAAACAGTGGGCTAATTAGTACTGCAACTCTGTTCAAGACACGTTGTCCCCAGGGATACAGGACCAAAGATGCCTGAAGTGGGTAGCTAGTTCCTGAAATGGGCTGAAAGAAGGCTAAAATCCATTCTGGAATCAACTGAGTTGATTTGACTCTCTTGAGGACTCTTGTCAATATGACTGCTTATGCCCCAAGGTGGAACATGTTGTCATGGGTTAACCTTGTTCACTGAAGTGCTGCTTTTTCTTAGACAGCTTAGAGGATGTGTGGTGGGAGAAAGAGGGCTACCTTAAGGATATTAAGTGTATCATACTTTTTGCACTGAACAACTCCATTCTGTTGAACAGCCAGTCCTCTACAGTAGTCAGCACTTCACAGCAAAAACTGGACCCTGGCAACCTAGATGTAAGCCACATGACCTTGCCATCACCCCTGAACCGTTGTAGTTGATGTTGTGTCAACTACAACTAAACGTGCCTATTAACGTGATCTTGGTTAACATCTGCTTCTTGCCACTGGCAAAGCACACTCCTCTCTATATAACACAGCATATCAAATTAGTATTCGTTTGATGGCCAGAATTCACCATTATAATTAATGGGTATTTATTCAGACAAGGATTGGGGAAAAATGCAACAAAACTGAATGCTTACCAACGTTCAATTCCTTCTTTCAAAATCACAATAACTTCTTATTTTTAGCTTGATGTTTAATACTGGAAGAGCCCAAGGAGAAAAAAAACCCATCCAGAACTAGTTTTCTTTCTTCTCAATCCATTTGACACTCTTAAGTTTTAAGATATCTCAGGTGACAGATTAACTGATTATTAGCAAGTGCCATTATTTATTTATAATCACTGCCAGCATACAAACATTCTGTAAGGATTGCAATGTTATGAGTAATGCTGTCAATTTCTGTCATTCCAATAAAAAAATTAAATCACTGATATAATTTCTTATAAACATTAGGTTGTGAACTACAGTATTTGATAGTCTAAAATAGATCCCGAGATCTGGAACTGTCGAATAGATTCCTCACGAACAGACACAAATGACTGACGTGCCCAATGTGAAGTGTGTATGCATCAAACCACTTTACAGAATTTGGTACTCGCCATTCAAGAAATGCCATGTGACATCTATTGACTCCAATCTCTTACAGCAGGAGCAACTTGTTAGTTCTTAATTACTACTCAATTGTAGACTTGCTGGCCATATTTATTAGATGCTTTTTAGATAAATCAGTTGTTGAAAAATACGGAGCATATACTCAACATCTCCCCACTGTAACCAACATGCTTACTACCAGGTAACTCACCATGTTAGTACGCTGAACATCTGATATTTTTTTCATATTTAGATTTGGAGTTCAATGAGGTAAAAGCTAAAACAGTTCAGAATGACAAGTCTTTACTTCAGAAGGAAGTAATCCCGAAGGGCTTCTACAGACATGCAGGGAGTCTGCTTATTTCCAGCACATCGGAGAAGACTTGGCTAATCGAGTCTGCTGGAGCATGGAAATTTCCATGCTCCAGCATCCCTGCACTGGTGGTGGTGGTGGGGTGGTTTGAAATAAAACATGTCTTATGACCTCTAATTAAAAGCGCCCCACCACCATTTTTTCAGTGCTGTGATGCTGAATCACGTGACGTGCAGGCACTTTTAATTAGCATGGCTCACTAATTAAAGTGTCTGGCGCCGCATCCCAGAACATGTGTAAAAATACCCAAAGAGACTAATTTAAAACATTTCAATTTGTAATCAACATATATTTTTGTAGACCGGTGAAAAATAAAAAGTAGAGACTATACTTGGTGGAGGTATCCGCAATGTTTGTAGTCCAGTTTAAGAGCTCTTTTGGATTCATTTTCATAGAGTCTTCTGTTCTTGGAAGCACATTTTCAAGATCCATGTAATACAGAATCTCCAGTAACTGCATGTATAAATCAGAAATAAAATACTGATAACTAAGGAGACAGTGACTCAACGTTTTTTTCTCATTTTAGCAGCATGAACTTAAGCATAAATATTTTTACTACCTTATTTACTCAAATCCAAAACCAGGTTTTTCCACCCATTCAGCCTGTGGAAAAATGCCCCTCATCTTGGATTCATATAAAAGGCAGAAAGGGGGACAGGTATTCACTCCCAAGTTGGGGCCAGAGTCAGAGCACTAGCAGTTGCCTGCCCTCTACCCCCACCTGCTCTTGGCAGCCTCTGCCCCTGTACTTGTCTCCTCTCCCCCCTTCCCTTACTGTCAGGAGCAGCTCTGGCTCCATTCACTGCTGGGCACTGAACACATGGAAACTCTGTCACCTGCCAAGCCTATCAGCATTGGTACAGCTCCAGCCCTGAAATGTGTTTGCATGGCTGGGCAGGGGCCATGCGTCCATATGCTCTGTGCCTCAGGAGGGAATGGAGTCAGAACCACATCTCACAGTAATAAGAGGGGAAATGGAGCAGAGGCTGTGGGGAGCAGACAGGGGACAAGAGCCAGGGGAGAGGCTGTGGGGGGCAGATACCGGCGGGGGTGGGATGGGGATGGCAGGCAGCCTGGAGAAGCAGGAGGGGCAGAAGATAAGGAGGCTGCCTGACACCCCCTCTGCCCTGCCACTGCTTTCCCTATTGTAGCAGTGGTAAGGGGGGGACAAATTTAAGATGACCCTCTGATAATTTGATTCTATACCTGGAAAATTTTAACAAATTTATAATTTTTCCATATATATTTATAGATTCATATACATTCAGGCTGAAAGGGACCCTGGAGGATCATTGAGTCCAGCCCCCTACCCAGGGGCAGGAAGTCAGCAGGGATCATAGGATCCCAGCAAGATAAGCATCCAAATGTGTCTTGAAGGTGTTCGAAGTGGGTGCTTGAACCGTCTCCGGCGGCAGTCTATTCTAAACCTTGGGGGCTTGGACAGTAAAGAAATTCTTCCTTATGTCCAGCCTGAATCGGTCGCAGTGGAGTTTGTGACCATTCGATCTTGTCATCCCTTGAGGCGCTCTGGTGAACAGACATTCCCCCAGATCCTGATAAGCACCCCGATAAACTTATAAGCAGCCACCAGATCACCCCTGAGCCTGCACTTTTCCAGGCTGAAGAGTCCCATGGTTCTCAGCCTCTCATTATTAGGTCTGTTTTCCTGACCTCTGATCACGCGCGCAGCCCTCCTCTGCACCCTGTCAAGCTTCTTCCATCCTGTTTGAATTGTGGAACCCAAAACTGGACGCAGTACTCCAGCTGCGGCCTCACCAAGGCTGAGTACAATGGGAGAATGACGTCCCGGTATTTGCTTGAGAAGCATCTATGGATGTAAGCCAGCGTTTTGCTCGCTTAACTAGCCGCAGCATCACATTGAAGGCTCATGTTCATCTTGTGGTCAAACATGTCCCCCAAGTCCCTTTCATCCAGCCAGCGTAGCACTGCCGAGCCTATGAGCATGCTACAGGCTTTTCTTCCCAAAGTAGAAAAAAAACTTTTAAAGCTGAACATTTATGGCTAAATTCCTGATTCTCTGAATCAGCATTGAATTCAGATTTGGATTCAGCTGAATTGAATCAGGGACAGTGATCCAAACCAACAAATCGAATCACTGTCTCTGATTCAGGCTGAATCTGAATCGAATAGGGCCCGTTTCATACACCCCTATTGGATACTGCATATGGCACTAGCACTTTTGGATTCTGGGGCTTCTTCCATGGTTTCTGCAGAGCCCTCTAGTTCAACATACTGATTTAGTATTGGGGTTCATTGGAGGTTGGCCACATTCTTGTTTCTATTGGACATTTGCTGGCTTCACTTTCAGATCTCTTGGTTTCTCTGGTATTTCTATCAATATACAATAGGTGACAATTGTGTGAAATACATTTCTCAGACCCTTTTCTTATCAAAGTCTTTTCATGTTTGATTTACTTCCAGGATTATATTTCAGTATCATTGCAAAGTATTAATTAGAGTCTGTGCCTTTAAGCAATGTCTTCTAACATTTCTAAGTTAGCACCTTTTTTAGGTGCTGATTTTTTCAGTTTTTCTTAACTTTTTGCTGAACAATTCATAAATCATTTCTAAAAAAAGATTACCCTTATGGTTCTCCAAAACTTAATGTATCTAGTGTGTACTGTATTTGATTGTATCTTATTAACCCAAAAGGATATGAAATTAAAGGTATAATATAATATGAGACATTATACTAGAGTCCTCCCTGACCCACAGTGGGAAGAGGGGGGCCCATGGGACTGGTGAAAAACTGATGCAAAGTACCCATTTAGCAAGTTTGCTTTTTCATGGGCATCAGTTGTCAGCTGTCCCATCTGGTTTAGCAGGGGTCTAAGGTTGCCCTTGCTTTTCCTCCGGCTCTCCAAATATCTAAAAAAGGCCTTTTTATTGTCCTTGATATTTGTAGCTAGCTGGAGTTCCATCGCATCCTTGGCTTTCCTGGTTTGCTCTCTGCAGGTCCAGATCAGAGCAGAGTATTTCTCCTTGGTGGTGGTTCCAGTCCTCCATCCTTTGTAGGTCTTCCTTTTAAGATGCAGTTCTCTGGAGAGCCAAGGGGGCTGTTGTGCCCTTTTGCTGCCCTTCCTTCGAGACATGATGGACTTTGCTTGCACATCCAGGATTGCTCCTTTGAGGAGCAACCACTCGTCCTGAACTCCCCTCCCCTTTGGGTTGTGGCCCTTTATGGCCTCACTGACAAGCCTTCTTAGCTTGTCAAAGTCAGCTTTCCTGAAGTCGAGGACTTCTGTATTACTGACTGACTTGCCAGCTTTACGGCAGATAGTGAAGGTGATCAGCTTGTGGTCACTGTCACTCAACTTCCCTTCGATCGTTAGGTCGCTGATTAGGTTGTCCCCGGTTGCCAGCACGAGGTCGAGCAGCGCTTTACCTCTCGTTGGCCTGTAGACTTCCTGCATCAGATAGAGGTCACCCATGCACAAGAGAAAGCTCTGCGCCTGCTAGGATTTGGCTGAGCGCTCCTCCCCCGAGATGTCTGGGTAGTTAAAATCTTCCATGACAACCATACACCGGGAGCGCATGGCCTCAGCCAATTCCCTGGCAAACTCCTGGTCAAGGTCTTGACCCTGGGTAGGGGGTCTGTAGTAGACTCCCACCACAGTATCCCCTGTGCCGTGTTCCCCACAGATTTTAACCCAGAGGGTCTCAAGTCGTCCACTGTGGGTGCCAACGTCGGCTTGTAGGGACGTACAGCTTTCCTTGACACAGACAGCTACGCCCTCACCCCTTTTGTCCACTCGATCCCTCCTGTACAGGGTATAGCCGTCTATACCTGTGGCCCAGTCATGGGTGGAGTCCCACCAAGTCTCCGTTATCCCTATGACATCATAGTTATTTGCGTTTAGCAGGAGGACAAGTTCCTCCCTGTTTATTCTCCAAGCTCCTGGCGTTTGTGTACAGGCAGGCAAGTGTCCCATTGGGGGCCCTTGCCTTGCCTACAGTTTGTTCCAGTGCTGGGGCAGGTGTGGGTTCCCTTAAATGCCTTGGTCTGCTGGCTTTGCAAGGGTTGCTCAGCGGGCCAGCAATGGCAGTAGTCCCCCACATCCCCAAGCGGGCTTAGTTTAAAGCCCGGTGGAGCAGGTCAGCCAGCCTGGCTGAGAAGAGCCTCCTCCCCAGTGGAGAGAGGAGAAGGCTGTCCCTTCCCAGCAGCTCGCTGCCTCTCTCACCAAAGAGCGGGCTGTGGCCATGGAAGCCAAAGCCTTCCCGATGACACCAGTGCCACAGTCTTTGGTTAACTACCTAGATCCTCCTCTCCCTCCTCAGCCCATACTCCAAGACTGGGAGGATCGAAGAAAACACCACCTGCTCCCCCAGACCCTTAAGCCCCTTCCCAAATCCCTGTAGTGCCTCATGACCTGGCTGGGAGCGCTCTGAGCTGTGTCACTGGTGCCCACATGGATGAGGAGCATAGGGTAGTGGTCAGTGGGCTGGAGGAGCTTAGGGATCTTCTCCACAATATCTCGGATTCTGGCTCCTGGGAAGCAGCAAACTTCCTGGGCTAAGGGGTTAAGGCGGCAGATTACCCCCTCAGTCCCCCTCAGGATGGAGTCTCCCACGACAAACACTTTGCATTTTGTCTTGGGGAGAGCGGGGGCAGTAGCTACAGTAGTACCTGTGTTGCCTGAGGGAGCCGGCAACTCAGCAGGCTCTGCTGGGGCTGCAAGAGGTTCGTACCTGTTGCAAAGCTCCAGCGGGGCAGGGGCCTTGGTGCGGTGGGCCTTGGGGCCCGTGACCTCCTTGGTCCAACCCCTGGGCTGGACAGTAAGGGAGGTCCCCAAGTCCTCCCTTGTCCTGGAGGGAGACCGTGGTCTACCCTCTGTCTCCCAGGGAAGAAGGGCCTGGCAGTAGGAGTCAATCTTCTGCTCACAGTCGCTGATGGTGCGCAGTCTCTGGACTGCGGCCTGGAGCTCCTCCAGGTGGCACGCCAGAGACCCCAGAAGGGAGCAGACCCCACAAGGGGAGGTGGCCATGCTCCCAGGCCCCAGAGCCTGAAAAAGCGACAGGCAGCCCCCACAGCTGAGAGCCAGGGGCTCCGTCTGCATGGAGCCCGGAACCACGGGCTCCATCTGGATGGTGGTCTCTGAGGTGCCGGGGGGGAGGTCTGGGGTCCCTAGGCTCACGGGAGTGCAGCAGGCTTACACCTGTGCATCTCGCACTGGAGCCGGGACCAAATATAACCTAATTATTTGGGTGGGGGGGGAAACTTAAAGTCAAAGTTGTCTTGGATTCAGGTAAATACAATATAGATTGACACTGTATTAAGATGGGCTAATACTATGTACCTGGGTAATAAGCTTCAGAACAATATTCTGTTTTTTGCATGATAAATACAAGTCCATATAGGATGTAAGTTTAATTCTTAAGTGCATAAATTTAGTTCTAACAAAATGTTGACTCAAATAAAGCCAAACTGAAAAAATGCAGGTTTTCCCAGGCAGCACTAGAAAATTAATGAGCATAAAAATGTCAGAAAATGGATGGTGTTTCTTTCTGCAAAAAAACTGACTCTTAACCTTCTGGCTATTGCAGAATTAAACAAAAATTCCTGATTAACGTTAAATGAAAGAGATATACATATACAAACAAAGATAAAAAAGGCATGGTCAAAAATCCAGGAGAATGGTCCTTTAAAAAGAAGTAGATATACAATCTCTATACAGCTGGATGCTCCTTCCTACCTTGCAAAAACATTGTGGGTGACTTTCCATCATAGTCATTTTGAGGAGCGTCTCCTCCAAATCCGAAAGCGAGCTGAATGGGCATCTCTTCTCGCCTGTAACCTGCTTCGAATTTACCTGCTTCCACCAGAGAAGCAGAGTTTCTAACATCAGCAGACGCACTTCATGAAAGTCAGACTGAAGCAAATGGATAACCAGCAAAGAAGGATTCATCCTCTTTTCTGTGACAGGTGAACTGCTGCTTGAGATGTCAGGGTCAACAGATACTGAGAGCTTTGCTATTACAAGCTGGGTGATACTCTGAAGATACTGTATCAATCCTGGTATTGCACAGGAGTAGTGGATACCTGTCATCAACTCAGAATCTGAGATAACTGTGTTCACTTCCTGCCAAAATCCAAACAGTTCAATTTCTGAAATGAAAGGTAAAAAATAACAATTAAAATATAATTACAAATGAATAACACACATCTACTTTTGACAACTTGTTAATTCTATGTCGTTTAAAAACCCGGGGTTTAAAAAATGATCACACAGCAGGAGCTCTACACTGGAAACAGAAATCACCTTTGTTTTGAAGAAATTCTAATAAATAAATTATTTCCAGGGATGTCATATTATATTTATCTATATTAAAATATGAATGACTTAAAAATAAAGAAACAGTTTTCCAAACTGTGATAACAAAGCATGAGTGTTTGGAATCCAGGCTTCACGTAAGGTTTTTAAAAACATTTACTTTTACATGTACTTTACACAGTCATTCATATGCTTTGCCCTATGAAACATGGCAGTTCCTCATCTATCGGTACAAACTTGTCAATTCCTACTATTGGTCACGGGTTGTTTTTTTTAAACAGGGTAAAGAATTTTCTAAATTACTGAAGCAATCTCAGATGTCTTCATATACTATATACCACTGTTATTACAAGGAATTAACACGCTCACAGTCACACCCCAGGAAACGGAGGAAGTTCAGATGCATCAAAAGCACCAATTGCAAATACATGGTTGTGTCATCTGTGCTAGAATGGCACTACATTGGACAGACAGATCTTGGCCATGACCAGCCATGCTTCAAAACCAACTTAGCTGGAGCAGAAGGTGGCCAATGCTGAAGCTTCTGAAATCCCTGCTGTCTTACTTTGGGAAGTAATTATGTAAACATGGGACCCTACCAGTCAACAGATCTGCTACCCATGTGTATTCAGTCTCATCTTCAGAATCTACTGACAAAAACATGTATTTCTTTTTACTCTTCTAATTCTCCCACTCCTGCAGGAGTCAACAGACGAGAGAGAGATCAACATGCCATTTCACTGGCATCAGCAGAACTGGATAACTAAACTCCAAGCATTTATACTTGTGCCAGCCCTTCCAAGTCAATCAATGAAACTATGCAGGAGGCACTGAGGGCCTGTTAATCAACCCCAAAGTTAACAGAAAGATGTTATCATGGTAAGAAATGAGTTAAGGCCCTAACAAAACTGGCAGCATTGATACAAAAGGGGTGAAAAAATCAATGCAGAATAATATTCAGGAATCTCTGACTTTCATCCCCTTCTCTTTAGTCTTCAGCATAGCTGAAAATAGCAAACCATCTGCTAATGGGAAAAAGCCAAAAATTTCCTCCGTTTCAAATATATGCATAGGACTGTGTTTCATGGGAAATTACCAGAAGATTACCGGAACATTTGCTACAGTATACCAACGCAAATAGGAATCGAGGGTACTTCTAAGGCCAAGCACAACCTATCCGTTATTATCCTGTAATAAACAAGGCAGCAGCCTGGCAACAAGAATGGGCGGATTTGCAGTTTTTTTCCTCAAAAGTCACTACAGAAACAAACATCAAGGCAATAAACTAGACCTGTCCTTCTCCAGTATTTAGAACAGTGGTTCTCAACCTTTTTAGACTTCAAACACCTCTCATTTAATTTGAGGCACCCTATCCATAACCTTTGTGAATTGAACAGCACCCCATTGCAAAAACTAACTTATTTATTACAGTGCTCACCTCCTTACAAAAGGGCCAGGCAGTGAGGGCAGGGGATGAACACAAACCTGCACCTATCTCCTCATACCTCACATCACCCTTCAAAAGATCTCAAGAGTGTCCTGGTTGAGAATCACTGATTAAGAACATAGCATAATTCCACACAATGTGACTGCTTTTTGAACTTAGCTGTGTGCTGAATATTGTTATAAAAGACTACCAAATATTGTCATAAATTTGTTATACTTCCATAAAACAACAATACAAATCAGGATAACTTCTCTCCATTCTTGCTATCTGCTGAAATAGTTCCCAAAATGTCATATTTGCAAGAAAATATCTCCACTTTCTCTTCATGTCTCTATAAAGCCATCTTACTTTGTTTGACATATATCACCACACTGACTTTCTAAGTATATCTCAAAGTGTTTTGTGAGCTATTTTGGAGAAGTTCCAAGGAAAAGTTATATCTGAAAGAAAGAGGTTTCAGGCACATTGCATAACCCATTAGTCTTATTAGCTGTGTTTTCATAACAGACTCTTTCACATTCCCTTGATGTAGACTGAAGCAGCCATAAAACTGTAACGAACAGACAGGGAACCTGCCACAAAGCAAATAAAAGTCCTGTGGTTGAAGCAGCTGTATTCCACCTCCTAGCTCACCCGTTTGAAGCAACCAGGCTTCCTGTTTGATTCCCTTTCAAGAGGCTGCACATTCTACAATCCCTTTAGATAGAATGCTGTGGCGTTACATAATTTTATGCACACACAATAACTACTCAAACATCCTGGAAGCTGCCAACATTCAATAATTTCTAAACTGTGTGGTTGCTTTCTCCACGATGCAGACTCTAGGGTCATGATTTTCACACGGCCTAATTCAGTGAACGCCACAGTACAGTAGAAATCAAATGTATAAACATGGAAATTGTTCGAGCGTCTAGATTCAAATGGTTTAAATGCTGTCCTAAAGTGTTTGCTAGGCACACAAAATTCCACCAGCCCAACTAGTCAACCCAATCATTAAAAAAACAACATGCAAGTACAGCATTTTGTTTTTCCATTGCTTTGGTACCAAAAGGTAAGTAGATTTTACATTGGGTGTGGTACACTCTTCTCACTACTATTTTTCAAGGCTGAACAGACAACATAGTTTTATTTAGCAAACTAGTATTGGTTTTGAGGGGAATTATTTTAGTTTTGGCAAAGCCAAAGACTTGCAGAATCAGCAATGAATGTTTCAGGGGAATAATGCCATTTTGGCAGATCTCTCCTATTTTCTGGACATACCAGAAACCTTTTCTAATTCTTGGACAGTTTCCAGCTTCTCTGTGTCTGATGGAGGCTGGATAATTTGGGCTTAGCTCCTTGCTTTAAAGCCGTTCCTCTGGTACTAGGAAGGCTCAACAACAAGAACATCAGACCCAGCTGATAACGTCTTTGTTTGCATATCCGTTTAGACTTAAGACACCAACCAGAAAGGCTGCTGCTATCACCTACGCTCCACGTTCTCTCCAATATTCTTCTGCATGAATATTCTCAAATCAAAAATATTCAAGTTTTTAATTTTACCACTAAGAAACCTTTTCTGGTTTTCATGTCAATACTTATTTTTCTTTGCAACTTTTATCTGATCTCCCTTCTTTGGTCAACTTCAAAATGTTTGCCTAAACCAACAAACATGTTGCTTCCCAAAATAAATGTCCTGCCCTGTTATTAAAATACAGTAAAGAACTGCTGCTGCTTCTTTTTTCTTCACATGCAGAAACATTGTGCATGGTCTGGATGATCAGCTGCTGGAAGAGGGAACAGGTACAACCTTTGGTCAACTAAACAGTGGTGTTGGCAAGCAGCAAAAGGAGTCCTGTCCATTCCTCTTTAACCAGATGGTGACAGATGCAACAAGGGCCTCAAGAATGAAGGAGGAAACAAAACACAAGTGGAAAGCGAGTAAATTTACAACATTAAACTGTGAGAAAGCAGAACTGGGCCCTCTCCCCACATGAGGAATCCAATTATCGTGTGTGTGTGTACACCCCGCCCCCCCAACTTCATTTATAATACATTGCAGAGATAAACCTACCTCCAAAATCGCTGAATTCTAAACGAGAGAGACAAATTCCATAAAATATCTTGGGGAGGCTGTCTAAAGTCAGGGATATACTGTTGTCCACCCTAGTAATTTTGATAGAGGTTTTATGAGCTACTGATAACCAGAAAGGCAGGAAGTGAAACATCCCTTAGAAAGCAGAAAGGACATAAGCAACAGAATAACATTACCAGAGATGGTGAATGGGATCAGAAATCAGTTAGTGGGTATGTCAACATAAGACATTTACTGTGGAGTTGACTAATTAACTCAGTAGTAAATGCTGCACATCTGCACATTCACCCCATTAGGTTGGAGTGAATTAATTAGCTCCGCAGCAGTGCATGTGTAGACGCTGTCCTAGCTGGCTAAGGCACAAGGGTGCTTCAGTGCAGGGGCTGCCTGCCAGCTAGTGCCATGCTGAAGCACCTTTGTGCCCCAGCCAGCCCCTCTGCAGCATATTAAGCTGGGGGAGCAGCTCTAGGCTGGCAGCCTGACCCCTGGGGCTCCCTGTCAGCTGGGACTGCTCTGACCTGGCTCAACATCTTGCAGCCCTGGGTGCACATTCAAATGGCACACCCAGGAGTAATAAACACTGGCGCAACAAGTGCCAGAGTTTATTGCTTCACATTAATTGCACATGTAGATGTGCCCAGTACCTTGCATATTACAGCTTATCTGACATACATGATATATAGCAGCAGCATCCCTTGGCACCACTGAATCAATACTAGCTTGGAGGGAAGAATCCTGTCTTCTGAATCATCAAGTATCATTTCCTAAAGTCTCCTTCAGTAACCCTAGTTGTACATTTTACCAGCTAACTAACTACCTGCTTTGTTTGCAAGATGACAAACATGACCATAGCTCAAGGTGTTGCACATAAAAATTATTAAAATGTACAAAATGATAGCTAAGTTGTACTGACCCTGCCCTACTTTTCCAAAACTCCAGAAATCCCTAAATATTCTAAATAATACCATCTGTAAGTGTTTTAAGGGGGAAAAGACAACTTTTTGGGGAAGTGCAGTATGTTGCATTAGGCAGGGGTTTAGGTTGACTTTTGTCAGAATCAAGGACACATAGGATCACTTTGTTTTCATGGACAGCAAAGCATGGCTTGTGCCAATAAAGTTACTTTGGGAGATTCTCCTAGCCTAGGTAACACCTACCATAAAACCATCTTTAATGGACAGCAAGCAAATGGATGCTGGCCCATTTGTTTCAAATGCACAAGATGCAAGAATTTCAGAACAACAGATAAGTCTCATGAAGAGAAGAAAGGTGTGCTCATTTGTTTAGTCATTTTGGCCCTGAGAAACCTAGAG